GTACTTCAAAAACACATGGCATCTCTCTCTATCTCTCTCTCCCTCTCTCTTTCCCCAAGGAGTCACTCAAAGAAGAACAATTATATTATAATCCATTTTAGACAATTTTTACTGAAACTTATTCACCAATGAAACTGTCCATGCACCAAGAGGAGGGTGATTCTTGAGTTGAGATCTGGTAGCAAAACCTTCAGGATTTCTACCAGATTGCCCTCTGTAGTTGCTTCTTAGGGGGATATTTTTCTTGTATAAATACGGGCATAGGGCTGTGCAGGGATGGAGTTTCCTTCCCCTTTCCCTCCACGTGATGTCCCCTCTCTATCCATAAAACATATGGTAGAAAATGTACAGATATGGTACCACATAGGGCCTCAAAACCATCATTGCCATGCTCAACTTTCTGCTTTTCACCTTGTCTCCACTGCAGAAGTGTCTGGGAGGAGATATTCACAGTTGAACACCTATGATCTTAAATCACACAGAGTTGTCTGCACTTCTCAACCTTAAGAACTTGCTCTCAGGGGACTTAATGCTTGATGCATGTATTTAGAAAAGCTTAGAGAGGTTTTCAATACCGATACTGAAACATTTTGTTACATGAAATCAGCAAAACATCTTCATTGGTTCTACTCCAAAACTTCTGTTTCTACTGAAAATAATTTTATTTTGAGAGCCGTTTAATTGAAACTGAGGATTATGTGTTTTTCTGCTGGACTGAAGATACCTGAATCTGATGTGCAGCTAAATAAAACATGTTTCAGTTAAGTTAATTTTCTTTTTTTCTCCTCTCTGTGAGTAACCAGTGGGCACAATTCCAATTTAAGGTCACACTCACTTTTCTGAAATCCATCACTGACTGACTTTCCCTGAAAATCTCTCTGAACTGAAAGCGTGCTTCCATTCCCAGAAAGAAAATAAATGCTTTTTGGAAACCAATAGTCCTAAGGTCAAGCTGCAGATTTCATTAAGTACTTTTTCCAATTATCTGTTTTTAAAATCTTTCAGTATTCAGTCAGCCCTGATAAGATTCCAGCACTTAAGCAAGCTGATATTTTCGGATGAGCAGATGTCATTGCACCTGCCGTGGAGCACAAATATGTCTAAATCCCTAAAACCAACAAAATTTAGTGACATTTACTTCAGACATTTACATGGCTGAAATAATTGAAATATGCTTACAGCTAGTGACCGAGTCATTTGCTGAAATGTCTTTTTTAGTGGTATTAGACTAATTACAATTGCCAAGGAACTTGGGAAAGCCCTGAAGTTCTGGAGACAAAAAAACAGGCGTTCAGATAGCTGTTGTTCAAGCACAAGCTATTAATAGCAGGTGATTAAGCAGTGAAAAGGAAGTCTCAGATCTCGCTGAGAGGTTTGGCTCTCACTCAGGATCTCAAAGAATTCATGTTTCCATGCAAACAAGATATAAATGCTCAAACAATTTTTTTTTCTATCTGAAGAAGATTTTTTTTTTTTTTTTTTTTTTTGCACGACATAAATCCTGTGGAACACATAATAAATATCCAGTTATTAGGTTTATTTTGTACTTTTTGCTTTCCATGCCTTCACATTTGGTTAAAAGGACTTTTAGGCTGTGGCTTGCTTGTGTAGCATGTATCTGATAGGAGGGCAAAGCACTGTTCTTCCAGCTCAAAGTCGTATTACATTCATGCCTCCATAGGTGGCAGTGCCTGTATAAGGCACAATATAACAGATTGTATGATGATAACCCATGATCAGGGCATTAGAGAATAAAGCCCTGATCAGATTACAAAATGAGATGCACACAGTGACTTCTTGACCATGATACTTTGGTGTTGTTTTCCATATATGTCTTTCGTGTCCTTTTCTATTTTCACTAAATTAAGGGAAGATGACCCAAATATCATTTACAATACGGGTTATTAATGCTGTCTCTGGCAGCTACATTGGAAAATAACAAAACATCACCGGTGGGGAGCAAAAGAACTAGTTCTGCAACATCTTTGTTATTTTTTAAAAGATATTCCTAATTACACGAATTTCTGCTGGAGCCAAATACATCTTAATTCAGAGCACACAGACTGGACCTCCATAGTGCTATGTTTATCCATAGTGACAACTGAATTTCAGCCCTTTTTTCTTTTTATGTTGATTGTGACAACAGGGAGTTTTATCAATTACCATAATGATACATGTGTTACTCACTCCACGTATCAAGTCTATCCCAGTTCAATTGTGTGACTGGGACTACTCATATGCTGAAAGTAGAGCATGTACTCAGGTTCTGGCTAGATCAGGTATTGTAATAGGCAGTCTGATACATGCTGGGTGAAATAGCACGCTTGAGCAGCTGGTGAGGTTAGCAGCAGTTGAGTCCTACTAATTTGAGTGGCTCCATATGCAAACTGCTGCTAGCATGGCTGGGAAAGGCAGATGTTTTCCTGCCCACCACCTCCACCCTAATAGAAGAGCCAGGATGATGACCTAAGTCTGGGGCAGGGCTGATCTAAAGCCAGAAGGACTTAGTCTGTGCTGGGCCCTCACTGCACGCTTGGAAAAGTCCAAATGCAAACGGTCTGTTCTGTCAGAGAATGACTTGGAGGATTTACCTATACAGGAGATGTGACCCTGATCCTAGATACAGTGCAATGAAAACTGAGTGCCTAAATACCTTGTACTAGCCTAGGTCATGAGCCACAATTTCAGAGAGTGTTTAACTGAATTAGACTATCTAATGATGTATGATTTCACAACCAATTTTCTTGTCCTTCATTGGTAATGAAGTGCTGGTATTATCTGAAAATGCGTCACGTTCTTAAAATGTGATGTTGAATATAGATGTTCAGAGTTCCTAGATACTGTTCTGATTTTATCGCATTATTTACATATTTCTATAATTCTGTTAGGCAGTATCAGTAAGGAAGAAAAAAAATCACATTTCTTTCCTTCCTCTTGCTTTCTATTTTTGTTCAAATTATCCACAGTCAATTCTTTATTTCTGCTTAACCCATTTTTTTTAATTATTTTTAGATGTATTAAACCACACTTGAAATCATTTGCACTTGGTATTTATACCCTGGCAATAAGAGTACTTGGTAAGTTGAGTTGTACTCTTGGGTCTATTTTAATATGCTCCTCATTAATTGTTTATCCTAGAACTAAACTTTGATTGTTGGAAAGAATGATGTCTAACTGACAAGTTAATATTACATGTTTTTTTAAAAAAATCTAGGAAAATGGTTGGAAAAAGGAAGCGGTTTTGTATTTCATAAATTGTGTAACTGTGTCTTAGATATAATAAAAATATGCATGGCTAAAGTCCATGCAGGTGACTATGAAGCTAACATCAAAATTAGTTCTTGTCTGTCCTTATTCAACAACAAGAATTACAAAACAGCTATGGCTCAGAATTTGTGACCATTCTTCAGGTATGTTTTCAGTGGTTTCTAAGGGCATTAATCTAAGTGCAGGTGTGCCTGAGGGCAGGGTTCACTGCAGCTTTGTGGTAGAGCCAGCTGTAAGTTTTCTCTAAAATCGAGGGTACCAGGAGACACCAATGAACTGGAAACTCTAAAATCCTCTAGATATTCATAGAAAAGGTAATAATTAGCAAGAAGCGAGTCACTTATTTAAATAGAGCAGACTTAGATGAGCTGGATGAGGCAGACAGTAATATCAAAACAAGCTGCTTTCTCACACCTTTGCAAGCCAGGATTTTCCCTCCAGGCTTACTTTCTTCATCAGCAACCATGGGTGGCTCCCCGGGTTGCACAGAGACCACAGTGTCCCCATTAGCACCCGAAGAAAGGTTTTTCCTTTCCATCGCCCACAAGCACTGCAGTAGGTTTGCCCCTGCCATGGTAGGATCTCAGGATACTTGTAGCCCCACTGCAGGCTCCCAGCCCCGCTGTCTCTCTACCTTTTCACCCCCCCCAACCAACATACAAAACACTCCCCACCCCCAAGCTGAACAGGCTCCATCGCTCTCAAGAAAGAAGTTGGGTTTTTTTTCATTTTCCCAGAGGGGTCCTGCAGGGCAAGGAAACCAAGCCATGGCCAGCACTCCTTCCGCTGACTTCCGCAGGCTCTTTGATGTTCACCTGCATTTCCTCCCCACCCCAGTTCCCCTCAGGGAGGAAAGGGTGGTGTGTGCTTGGGCAACACAACGCACGACTTCTTGAACCAGCAAACAGTGTGGAAGGGTCATTGCTGTTCGAATGTATTATTTAATGTTCTACATGAACATGTCTCTAGATCAGAACTGATCACCCTGGAAAGTAACCTTTTTGCTTCTATTTATTTGTTAAATACACCCAGCGGGAATTCCAGCCCCAGTATACTTTGGAGTGGCCATTGATACGACTTGCCTGAAATGGGGAAGCAAAAGATGTGGGGGAAGAGGAGCATGCAGACTCTATGACTCCAGTGCACTCAGGTAACAGCTCTTTGCCATTCGTTCTTTAACTTGTGTTCTGTAAGTACATATACATCTAGCACAGGTAGAAGAATTTCTGTCAGAAAGTTTGAGTGAAAGATTTGATGTCAAATGAAAAAGTCTGACTAACCATATTAACAGTAATGCTCAGATTTTAACATTCTCTTTTGGTTTTTTATCTTGGCTGGGGGAGGGGGGCAGGGCGGATGTTGTCTTATTTCAATATCAGCTGGAAATTTTTAAATCACTTGATTTTTCACCCAAAAAATGTTCAGTTAAAACTTCAATTTTATCTTTCTCCTATTTTTTAACAACTCCGCTGTGAGAGAGTGTGTGTGCGTAAATAAATAACAAAGTAAATAAGTAAAACGTATGTTAAACCTCGTCACTGCTCCACGCTGGAGCTGGACCACAAAAAGGAAGCGAAGGGTGCCACAAAGCATGCTTGGCTTATTTAGAGGCTTAAGCACAGTGTTGTCTTTATCAATTTGTTGCTAGAGGAGAGTAATTGTCTGAACTGCATTCATGAAAGGCATTACCATAAATGGAGAAAGAAATAACAATGGTAAAAGGAAAATGAGAGAATGGTTTGCCCTTCCCCACATCCTTGGGAAAAAACATGTGGGGAGGGTACATCTTGTTTTGAAAATTTGAAGAAAAGAACAAAAACTCAGTTGGGACTCATTACTAATAAAGCATAATGATGATGTTGTTGTTACTGTCATTAAGCTTGTAAAGTAAAAACACCATCAAATATTCTTAATATCACTGGTACTGTTTATGAGGCAACTGAAAAATAGATTAATTGCCCTAGAAATATCAGAGTAACTCTCACTGAAATGCATTGGGGTGGAGGAGTACAATCAATGCCTGAGACACTTTCTTGGCCACAGATGACACAACACCTGACCTGGGTGAGCTGACAAACTCTCATTTCCAGGGTCATCATGTTGCTTGAAGACCTTTCTTACTCAGCTTTACCACATGAAAATATGAATGTGTCCTTGATGCCTTCTGGTCCTTTGTTGCCTTTGAAATAGGCTCTGATCAATAATTTCTCTCTCAGGTATGTGTACCTGGGGCTGACTTTGGTGTTGGGCACGGTGTCCATTTTCTTCAGTGTTGCTGTCCTTTGGGTTCTCCGGAAAAGGTCTTCTCCACAAGATGAGACCGTCCCAGCCAATGGGGAGAGAGGCGCCTGTGGAACAAAGAGCAGGAAAGATAATTTTGTCAATAGTGACCATTTAATTCAGACAACTTACTGGCCAGAAAAGGAGACTAGACTTTAGGAAGACTGAGATCTCCACCGTGACTTTACCCAGTGAGTGGTGTTCCAGGCAAAAAAATTCCTCATCAACGAAGCCGTATATTAATATCCACCCTGAAAACATTCACCTTCATGTAATTTTCACGATAAACACCAAAAGCAAAGACAATCATTTTAACACATGTGCAGCTCTGAAAACACTGCTCACCATTTGTCCTGCCGAATCAGTGCCACTCAAGTGAGGGGATTTGTTATGGCTGAGGAGGTGCAGCTTGCTCCCTCGCCGAGAAGCCAGTTCTACAGATGCCCCACAGCTCCATCACTCCTCGTCAAGCTGCAACTGCCACTGCTGCCTCTCGGCTTCCTTCTGTGTGTGAGGCATAGTGGAGAGGCTGCAATGCAGCTCTCTGCCATGGCACTAGCCCAAGAGGAGCTGGTGCACAAAACCCAACTTGGCAACCTGGAAGGTGCAGGGATATTCTGCACATAGCTCACCCTTGCAAGCAGTGCGGCACAGGGCAGGAGGAAGGTGGTTTGCTCGAAGGACAAGTCAGCTACAGGCTCTGGGCACCTCATTAATTCAACCCATAACACTTAGGACATCCAAAGCTGTGGTTAGGAATTCTTTTTCAAGTAGCTCTGTTATAGCACAACAATAACAGCAATAAAAGTTGTCATTGAAGTCAAAGAGACCACAAGAGTATCGTCCAAAGGAAACTGGAGTAAAAATACAGCTTTTTTAGGTTTCCAGCAGTTTCTTGCTACTTGCTAGTACTCAGTGTACTGAATAATTCCATGCATTTTATGCAATGTAATAACACTGTGATACAAGATACGTATGATTTATTTTTTAAAAAGCATGACAACACAGCTTGGGAACAATAAAATGAATGCAAAGACCAAGTGATTTGGGTCTTTTCCTTTTAATTTATTGTATTTGCTAGCTGAAACTAAGCCATGTACCATAGTGTCCCTTTATATATAATTTTTTCAGTTTGACAATATTTGATTTTAAATAAATTTGGGGTGGGGAGTACAATGGAGAGGTGTTTAACATGGAACAAAATCTCAAGAATGCTTGCACATAAAAAGATAGTGACAGCACCACTACAAATTATGTCTTTTAGAGCAACTAGATTTTTAGAGCACATGGTAAAAGGTAGGCTTCACCCTTCATCCTAATGTTGGCAAAACAATCTCATATCACATCACTTACATCTCAGCAGTCACTGTAGGTACCCTGCTGCCTAGCTGAATTTGCAGGTCAGAGGCAAATGTGGAGCTGCTCCTACAGGATGTATGAGGAGGGGCAGAGGTATAAGAATGGGATTTACTGAGCTTTAACAATGATAAATGTTTACAGTGTGCCTTTAGGGCACCAAATCCTTTCAACAGGAATACCAAAGGATGTTGCTTGAGTACCAAATATCTGCAGAAGGTAAGGATTTAAAGCCAGCACTTGAAAAAATGCAATTATCAGAGGAAGGACCAATGCCACCCACCATTTGCCACGTGGGTGAGTGTTTAGACCGTGGCTTGGAGTATGGGAGACCCGGTCCCCTGTCCCAGCTCTTTGTCCTCCCAGGTGAGTGTCAGAAGCTACAGGCGATGGGGTACTGTAGAGCTGGGGCTGTTCACTTTGCCTTGTATGATTGGATATTGAACTAAACAAATAAAATTAAAATAATTTGTAAATATGGGACTAACTGAAGCATTACAGATAGGGTGAATCACAAAGATTGACATTCTAGTCTCAGTCTCCATTCATACTACATCATCATAAAAACAACAGAAAATACCAAACCACATCAGCATCCAGGAGTGAGAGAGATGCTTGGAGCATTCCATAGCCTCCTTGGGAAGGCATTTTTCATAGCAATAAGCTGTCAGATCCAGTGAGAGAAAGGGACAACCCAACTTAAAAACACACTGGGATAAAAAAGGAGGGATATCTGCGTTTCACTCAGTGCTTGATATTGTATGTATGTCAAATAAATGTGGATGATTCCCAATTTGTGAGTCAGTCCCAGCAGGGTTTATGGCAGGGGCACTGCTGCTCAGCAATGCTGAAACTGTCACAAAGGCAGTACTGCACATGCCCAGCAGCTAGATAGCCAGGGAAATTCACTGGCTTACAGGACAAATAAAAGAAAAAAAGAGAAATAAACATATCGTACTCTAATTCAGAAAGAAATAGGGAAAAAAAATCAGCTTCTTGGGTTATCACCAAAGCTTATGTATGTAAGCCTGTACTCAGTGAATAATTCCTTTAAAGTATGAGCTTTCTTTCCTTCCATACCTTCTTTACACATGAAACGAAGAGGAATACTATAAAATAATTTATTGCAGTAAGTTTTATTTTCATTATCGTTTAAAAATGAGAACTGTTTTCCTCTCACCGTTTGGCGATGATAGTACTGTAAGTTACCAAGCAAATATACTCCATTCCCACTTGAAATATTTTCAAGTCTGCTACTTTAATACTTCAAGTAGTAACATGGACGCATGGATGAGTGTCTGACTAGAGATGCATATTCTGGATTTATTATAGCAGATGAACAAACGGTCTCAGCTCTAAGGGATTTGGATGTGTCAGGTTCTTCCTACCAGAATTCTTCATATTAAACTAAATCTGCAACTGGTAATTTCTCCTAAAGGTAAACAAATTTGGAATTTTTTTATTTTCTTTTTAAAATTAGAAATATTAAACTGCAGTTTAGACTGCAAAGAAGAAAATGTCTTTAATTTTAAAAGGTGAGACTGTTAAAAGAATTGGCTGCGGAGATTGCCCAAACCTTTGAGGCCAGAGAGGGACTCACGACCTTGTTAAGAAGTACCCACAGGCTGTATGCCTATGTTATTCATGCATTTTCGTCTTATAGCAAGGACCCTAATTGGCACACATGGGAGAAAGCAAGGGTACCAGGCCATGTCACATGATGGGTTGTACAATCAGGCCTGGGGTACGTGACCCAGTGCACATTTTATCTTCTACCTCCCAGCAAGAAATGCAATTCCCAAATGACACAACATGTCTCACTTACAGGCACGTCATTTCTAATCATGTCAGCAGGGAAATATCAAGGAATTCTAACAAACGAAGGAGGCAAAAAGATGAGATCAGTAGACTGTGGGAACAATGCATTGGATCTATATCTTGTGCTCTCCCAGCATTTGAGAGGAAAGAAGCATCAGTATAGGATGAAGTATATTCAGGTCCCAGGCAGTAGAACAGCTACCCCATCCTTGTGCCACTATTACTTTGCAATATATGGTCCTGTAATTTGAGGGAATTGCCAAAAGTCAGAGAGCAAATGGCGTGAATGTACCAAAAAGAACACATAGGCTGAATGACAGGTTGGATCCTTGATGTGCTCAAAATAATGAGCAAGATTGGTGTATGAAACAACTATTGTAATATTTTTAAATAGCAGTATGATTATTATAATCTGAGAGAAAAAATTGACATTACCACATTGGCTGGTTTGAATGTTGATGACACAACATAGTTTAACTGTTTGAAACATGCAACTTAATTCTGCATAAGATTGAAAGAAAAAAAGTCACTCCTCTCTAGAAGCTATGAAGTGCATAATACATAGACTAGCAAGCAGCTAAGTCAGCAAGGGTATTTTTAAAGTATTTGTAAATAGAGAACCATTACTGATAATCGTGAGAAATATGAAAAAAGTGAGCACACTTGCTCAACAGAAAAAGAGCATAGGACGATCTTGAAAACCAGTAAGCATGGCATAAATGAACAGACGTAACTTTCATCTCACCAATAGTAGAATTATGAGGTTAGAAGTTTACACAGATTTAAATACTGGCTAGGTGAAGAGGAAAAAATGTATTGAAGTGTAAAGATCACCTCAGAAAGTCCCAGGCCAAAAAAAAATTTAAAAAAAAAAGATCCCTGGAGAGTGAAAAAGCATATGAGAAAGCATGGTTATGTGTAAGACTACAAGGATGACCAACAGCAAGAGACTTTTTTCCACTGGTTAACGTGGAAAAAAGATAGCGAAAAGGAGAGCTGTAAGCGGCATGGGAAGTGTTGCTAGGGATCAGCTTCTCACCCTGTTTTCCATTACAGGTACTAGGGAGCACCAAACCAAGATAGCAGAAGGGATGTCCAAAGCAAGGCAGTTGGCTTTTCACACAACAGATGTGAGACTTGAGAAATCCTTACAAAATTTTGTATTCAAATTTTGTGTGCATAGGTTCAAAGGGAGACAGGGTAGTTATAGAAAAGAAAATGCCATGTGGGTTCTGCTCAAGACTTCTCTTGTGTTTTGAAAATAATTGGCAATTGGGGGAGTAGTAGACATATACTTACTTCTGACTCTCACTTCCCCTAAACGTCCTCCCTTGGCTATTGCCTGTCAGGGCTTTGAACGCACCTATGGCCCTGATCTGTTTCTCTTGGGACCCACCTCCACCTCTGCCCATGGGTCCCAGAACCCCATTTCAGCTCCAGCCTGCACAGGGAGTTCCCATCTGAGACACTTCGGAGGTTTGCACGTGCATATGGCCAGTGACCATCAGCCAAAAGCAAGTTAAGGAGTCTCTTGCTGTTCCTGAATTATTGTCTGGATTTCTGGGATTGTCCTATGGCCTGACTTCTTAACTCACTTTTGGCTGATGATCACTGGCCTGAGACTGGAACCAGTGGTTGTCTCTGCCTCAGCTTTGCTGACCCTGATCAGGCATTGGGTATACAGCCTGCATTGGGCTGGCCCTGAGATACCAACTTGTCCGTCTTTGTAGAGCTGCCCCTGTCAGCAAGAGCCTTTGGGCTAGAGGGATCATAGGTCTGAATCAGGCTTGTTGTCTCTTCTTGTACACTGGAGCATCACTTTGCATGAGACAGTTCTTCATTCAGTGCTAGTCAATCTCTGGAAGAAAAAGAAGTCCGTAGTTGCTGTAAAAATTATGGGAGCAATTTAAAGGTAGAGCTCTTTAATGGTGGCTTAGAGCACTCATTGAAATGACCTTACTTAAGCAACGCATGGTTGATAACAT